AGTCCTGCTCCCCTTTCGGACAGAGACCCTCCCCTGCCTGGCCAGGGCCTCTTGCTGGTGCTGAGCTCCTCCTGACCCCTCTAGCCAGACCATCGGGTCATGCAGAGGGCAGTGGGAGAGAGCCAGGAAGTGCCACATTTAGAGCACCCGGGCTGATGCAGGGTCTGCACCTGACCCCCACGTTGGGCTAGCTTGTGGTTCTGTTTATAGCCTCAAAAGAGTAAAACAGTAGAAAGGGGAGGGCTTTGGAATCTGGTGTGACCCGGCATCCTGGGTCCTTGGATGTGCCCCCCAGCAGAAGTGCCCCCTATTCTCCTCTCATTTGTTTAGGGTCACTCTGCTGCTTATCTGAAGGCTGTGGGTATGTATCTAGAACATGGGTGTTTCTCCAATGGTTCTCCACCCTGGCCAGCTACGTGGGCATAACCAGTGGCATTAAAAAACACATGTGACATTGTAAAGCAATTATACTCCAATAAAGATGTTAAAAAACAAAACGAAACAAAACAAACCCCCCCCCCCCCAAAAAAAAACCCCAAATGGGCCGGGAATTCCCTGGCGGTCCAGTGGTTAGGACTCTGTGCTTTCACTGCCGAGGGCCCGGGTTCAATCCCTGGTCGGGGAACTAAGATTCTATAAGCCGCACAACATAGCCAAAAAAAAGTGCCCAGGGCCCATCTTAGGTACCGAATCAAAATAAGGACTGCATTCTGCAGGTGATTCTGCTGTGAGTCAGGGTTGAGAACCACTGGCCTATAAGCCAGGGTCTTAGTTTGGGTTCCCCAGAAATAGATTCTGAGACAAGCGTTCAAGTGCCAGTAGTTTATTTGGGAGGTGGCCTCAGGAACATGGATGGAGGAGTGGGGGATGAGGCAGGGAAGGAAGGAAGCCAACATGGGGTACATGACCGAGCCGGTTACCACTGTGGGCAGAGGGAGCTCAGGGAACTCTGGGAACCGAGTATCCCACCTGAGGGAGAGGGAGCCCTTGCGGGCTGCTTCCAGGGCATGAATTCCCTGATGCTTCTATTTTGCCCCTGCATGTTCGAGCATATTCTCACAGCGAGGAAAAAAGCCTGAGGCAGCGTTGCATGTATCCTCCGTGGTCTCTGCCTTCTAGCATGTAGAGGTGAATGCCCGGGGAGTAGGACGAGGCGCCAGCAGCAGCTGCTACAGGTAGACAATAACAAGAAAAGTCATAACCACCTGCTGGGAGGGCTCCAAGGTGCCAGGCAATTCATGACTGGCAATTCACAAGTTTTCTCCTAATGTCTGCAGCACAGCGGAGAGCAAGCAGGGCCACATACACTGAATTTCGCCACAGACAAGAGGCCGACAAGGGGGAAATAGTCTCTGAAAGGAAGAGGCAGCAGGGTGGTCTGGTTCAGTGCCTTTCGCTGTCTGCCCCAAGCCTCCCTGCCTGGCTCGAGCCTGCAATGGGGTTCCCTCTCCCACCTTCTGAAACCTGGCTTCCGGCCGAGTGGAGGCCACCTCCCCAGATGAGCCACACCAGACATGGCTGTGCCTGTGGGGAGACCCCCGTCTTCTCCCCTCCCTTTTGGCCTAAATGCCAACCAGGAGCAAATGTGACCCCCTGAACTTACGGGAGAGGTGCACACAATGGGAAGGGGCATTTCATGCCCGAGTGTAGATGTGGCTTTTGCCCTGACATCTAAGTCTTCAGTTATTGCCTGAGTGTGTAGCAGATGTAGGTGCCCAGGGACAAGTGGGACCCCAGCAGAGACCCCCCCCCCCCCCCCCCGCGCCCCCCCTGGCCCCCCCGCCCGCGTGCCCCCAT